CCCCCCGCCCCCCCCAGCCAGCGGGGACTTCTCTGTCGTAGTGGCTTGGAACCTTTTGGCATCAGGACGGGGAGGTAGGGCAGGAAAAAAAGGAAAGGGTGTGCATTACAACGTGAAGATCCCTCTGTAAATCCTCAAGACACGGTGTGTGTGTGAGGAAAGGAAAGCCCCACATCTGCCTCTGCCCAAGTCCCTTCTCAGTGCAGTGACCTTTTTTACTCTCCCCCCCACCCCCAGGTACAACATTACGACTGGTCTGTATCCCTTTGAGGGCGACAATATTTATAAGTTATTTGAGAACATCGGGAAGGGGGACTACACGATTCCCGAAGACTGTGGGCCTCCACTTTCGGATCTGCTAAGAGGGAGCGTCCATTCCATCGTGTCGGGGCGAGGGTCTGGGGGGGAGAGGGGTGGGCAGCCAGCCGGCCGGCAGCTCTCCCAAAGATCCTCCTCGGCCCAGGAGTCTCCGCATCCCCCACGGTGGGACGGGGCCAGAGAAGCCTGGCAGTGGGCCAAGGGCCCTGGGGGTTCGCGGCTCCTCCCCTGAAGGTTTCTCGCTCAGCTGCCCGCAGCAGCAGCCAGGGATAATAGGGTTTGTAGTCCAGCAGGGTCTGAAGGACAGCAGAGTGGGGAGGCCAGGTGTCCGCACTTCCTCAGCCTCCGAGCGGCTCTCCGTAAAGAAATCAAGCCTGCAGTTAAAGTCAGAGAGAGAGTGTGTGTGTGTCTGTGTGTGTATTCTGTCCCCTCAGAGGGCCCTCCCACACTTTGCAACCCTTGGAATCCAAGCGCAAAGAAAGCAAACCCGGACAAGGCCAGCCTGGGCCCCTCCAGGCCTCTTGTCTGCTGTCCTCACTGTGTCGGTGGCTCTGTTTTTTTCCGGGGTGTTGGGGGCACTGTGCGCAGCCACCGTTGTGGGACTGAAAAAGCCCGCAGATCAAGGCCAGAAGAGTTCCACCTTTCCTGGGTGGGGGCAAAAGCCACGCCGTTGGTCGGTTGCTTCTCTCTCTCTCTCTCTCTGAGGTAGGCACCCTTCCTCCCTCCCTCTTACAAGAGATCAGAGGGGTCCTTCCTCCCATTGCCGCATCAGGGCCGGGATTTCTTTACTCTGAAGGTGTACACCTTGCGTGTCAAAGTGACATACCGAGAAGCCGACCACCCACTCCAGGAAGGCAGGACTTCTATAGTCCGGCAGCCTTTCTTCCAGGTTTAGGGAGGGTGCCGTTTTCCCAATCCTCTGAATGGACAGTCTTACCCCTGAGAAGCCTCCAGGGGAAGTTTTAGAATCACGGAGTTGGAATCGAGTCCAACCTTCGGCTCGAGGCAGGAATCTTAAGTCATCCTGGTGGTGGATCCCAGCCGCTCTCCTGCTTCTCCCAGGCTTTTCCCGGGACTGTGCTCTCCCGGCACCCCTCAGCGCCTGGGCTGCTTTCTCTTGCCACTCCGAAGGAATCGGCAAGTCACAAGGAGGCACCTGCTCTGTCTGGGAAGAGGGCGGCCAGCTTCCCACAGCCGACGGCAGCACTGCTTTCTGAGCTGACCGGTTGGAGAAGTGGAGGGATCAGGTCCCGGGGGGGGGAACCCGGGGTCCCCAGCCACAGGTAGGAGCCGGAGCCATGCTTCCCTTCTGCTCCAGAGAGTCAAGGAAGCCAGGAGAGTTTTGGACTTCCCCGAATAGCCTGGGGGCCGTCCGGGTGCCCTTGGCCTGTCGTTTTTCTATCATCTTTTCATCATTTTTCATCCCTTGCTGGTGAAAACGATGAAAAGACCATAGAAAAATGACAGGCCAAGGGACACCCGGATTGGGTTGCTCTCTAACAATATCTGGACAGGTCCAGTGGCACATTCTTCGTTTAGGATGGGGTGGCCTGAGCAGCCGGGTCCCTTCTGACAAAATCTGGAGGTTTGTCCTTAAGAAGTAAAGGGTGTTGTTTTTGTTTTTAATTAAAGAAAATTATAACATAATTGTAAAAAAAAAAAAACTTTAAAAAGAAAGATTGCGTAAGAATGCAATATGAACGAAACACAGGAAAGGTTAATCGCTTAAAAGGCTTCCAGCCGTAATTGTGAGGGCTGCTTTCTTGTTTCGGATTTGCCTTTAAACACACAAAAGAGTTTTGATGCCCGTGGAGCTTCAAAGTATAAGAGAAGGACGCAAGCCAAAATCAACAGGCCTCTGAGGATTTGGCTCTCCTCTTGCTCTTTCTAACTAGTCCTTGCTGTGTGTTGTGATCTCACCTCTGGAACAACTTACCTCCTGAGATTCGCGCAGCTCCTTCGCTGGGTATTTTTAAGAAACAACTGAATACATGGATGTTTAAGCAGGCCTTCCCCCTTTCCAGCTAATTCCTAATTAACCATTTTTCCTTTTCTGTTACAATATACCCTGTTTCTCGCCATCTTTGGGAAAAAAATTATTATTTTTTTTATTTATGCGAATTATGTGATATGTTATATGTTCTGTTCAGTTGTTTTATAGTGTGTGTTGTAAGCCGCCTAGAGTGGTCACAATTGACTAGATAGGGGGGGTGTATAAATGAAATAAATAAATAAATACTCTCATCGCACAAGCTGGGCTGATCATCATCATCTGTGCCACCAGTCAATTCTGACTTACAGTGACCCTTTTCACAGTTTTCTCCGTAGAGGACACTCCAAGAGTGGTTTCCCTGTTCCTTTCTTCTAGGGTCGCCCTGGGATTGTGCAGCTGGCCCAAGGCTACACAGGAACTTCTACACAGGAACTTAGATGTAACTGCCTTACATGTCACATACTTGCTTGTAACTAGTTACCTCTAGTAACGGGTAGTTACAGAGTTGCTGTCAGTGCAGCCTGGCAAATAGTTACAGATATCTTTTTTAGATGTGATCAGTAATGGATTCCCCCCCCCCTTTTTGTTCTTTTTTTAAATAAAAATTTTGTCGTATTTTTCTACTTTTCTATCCGTTGCCACCAGAGTGATTTATTACAATATGTTCCCTTCATTTCATCTTGTTTATACTCTCCAACATAATATTAATCTAATCTCTTATACCTAAATTGGTGTAAATTTCATCCAGGTATAAAGAGGTTCCCATTTATTATTATCCAATCTTTCATGATGTGGGTGGCGCTGCGGGCTAAAACGCAGAAGCCTCTGGGCTGCAAGGTCGAAGACCAGCCATCATAAGGTCGAATCCATGCGATGGAGTCAGCTCGTGTTGCTTGTCCCAGCTCCTGCCAACCTAGCCATTCGAAAGCATGTAAATGTGAGTCGATAAATAGGTACCACCATAGTGGGAAGGTAATGGTGTTCCATGTCTAGTCGCGCTGGCCACGTGGCCACGGAAGATTGTCTATGGACAAATGCTGGCTCTATGGCTTGGAAACGGGGATGAGCACCGCGCCCTAGAGTTGGACATGACTGGACTCAATGTCAAGGGGAACCTTTTCCTTTTACCTATCATTTAGAGTATCTGTCGAAATATCAATTTCTGCTAGTTCCAAAATCTTCTCAACAAATTCCTTTGTCGGCACCTTTGCAGTCTTCCACTTACTGCCAATTTTAACCCCTAAAATGTTCTCCATCATTTCATGAATCATTTTCCAAAGGTCCTTGGCCCTACGGCACATCCACCACCTAAAATAGAAGCTCCTTACTTTACTTTTCACATTTCCAACACTTCTTAGAAACATTTTTATACATTTTTGTTCATTTCTCTGGTGTTATGTACCATCGGTAAAACATTTTGTATATATTTTCTTTTAGATTTATAGATTTAGTCGTTTTAATATTTCATTCCCAAATTTGTGACCAGGCACTTCATTCTATATTATGACCTATATTTTGAGCCCATTTTACCTTGCAGTCATTCACAATTTCATCTTCCCTTTTTTGCTCGGGAGCAAACCTTTAATCAATTTTTCCTCTAATGTTTTTAGTGGCTTCCTAAAGTTACTTTTAAAGAGAGTTCTGTAGAATTTAGAGGTGTTCTGACAGAGTTTTTTCTTTTCTTTATTTCTGATTTTAAGACCTTATTTCGGACAGAAAGAACAAGGTTCTTAGGTTGTCTTTTCACGTCATTCTGAGGTGCAATATCAGGGGCGGCAACTAGGTGGCACCAGAGGGCGTTGCATTGCAATGAATAGCTGGCCTTACTTGGAGAAGTGCTTGATTAGAGAGGAGGAGAAAGTATATATCTTCAAATATCTATATTTCCAGACTCCAGCAATGGGAGGAAAAAGTGAAAGGCAGGTGGGAGTAGTAGGAAGAGCCCCAATCCTGTCTGCTTGGCAAGAAACAAGGAATAGATGTATACATTGATGCCTCGCATAGCGACGATAATCGGTGCAGCAAAAATCGCTGCAAAGCGATTTTGTCGCTATGTGATATTAAAAAGCCCATAGGAATGCATTGAAACCCCTTCAATGCATTCCTATGGACTTCACACTCATCTTTAGACGAAAATCCTCCATACGGCGGTCATTTTCGCTGCCCAGTAAGCGAGGAATCCGTCCCAGAAAACAGCGGGCGGCCATTTTTTTTAACCCGGCGGCCATTTTGGAACCACCGATCAGCTGTTAAAAAATCATCGTTTTGCGATGATTGGTAAGCAAAACAGGGTACCGATCATTGCAAAGCGATTTTTCCCTATTTAAAACATTGCAATGCAATCGCAAAAGCGATCGCAAAATCTTCATCGCTATGCGATTTCATCGTTAAACGGGGCGCCCATTAAGCGAGGCACCACTGTATTTGGAAAACAGCAATCCGCTCCTCACTCCAACTCCGAACGCCAGTGGCCACCTGAAACCTGGGCTGCCCTCCAATGGAGTCCAGTTCTGACACGCCATTGCTCTCCCCTGAGCCATATAGGGAGGAGAGTGGTGTTGTGCAAGGGTCCTGGCCGTCGATGCCCTCTCCAGCCGCCTTTTCACCCCATGGCTGGCTGGCTGGCTTGGAGGAGGGGAAGCGCTGCAGCCTCCCAGCGGCTAGTGCCGGGTCCGGGGTCCTGAGCATTGCCTCCCCGACGAGGCAAGCCATTCTGCTGGTGCTCCTCCTCCACTCTCTCTCTCTCTCTTTTTCATATCTGTGCTTAACATCCTCCCGCCACCGACACACACCAAAGCCATCTGGATCGCTCTTTTGATTTCCTATGGGCTGCGTTTCCTGTAGCCTTGTTTGCTGTTCGAGAAGGGCCTCTGTCCTTGGCTGAGCGAGGCTGCACTCCGAACGGTTCTCCTGCCGGCTGGTTTCAGCTCCCTCTTGATGGACGGGATTTTCTTTTTTTTTTCCTTGCCTGAAGAGCTCAGGGCGGGCCAGGATCCAGGTTGGCTTTGGAGGGAAGAGCGTCGCCTTTGGCCTTCGGGCCAGGCCTGTCTGTTG